CCCTATTAGAGACCCTTTGCAGAGAACAACTAAAATGCATTTTTGGAATCTGTGTTAAGACCAATTTCCCTGGGAAGTCAAGTGAAGAGCAGGTACCTCAGGGATCTCTCACTGAGCTGCAGAAAGCTACTTGTGTCATCTGGGTTGTCATCCTCGTTGGCCAGCTGAGACCAGCTGCCTGTGCTCTCCTCGCTGCTGCTGGGAGGGTTGGGGAACTCTTCAGGGGCTCTGGCATCTGTAGAGACTTCAGCCTCTGGTACGTCTCTGGCATCAAGGCTGTGACTGTAGACGGCAAGACATTATTACCAAGAGGGGGGGCACAAAACGAGACTTTTCACCGAGGTCGCTCTGTTGAGCCCAGACAAGCAGGATGTTGTTGGACACGGGGGGAGTCTCTCTTTAGGCTGACCCTTCTGCTGGTGCCCTGGGTTCCGGTTTGCCTTTTGGGGATACTCTCCATCAGCCAGATGTCTTATCTCTTTTATGAATCTCTTTCTACTGACTCCCTCTATTCCTTTGAAAAAGAGGTTAAAGCATCCTGACTTGCAAAAATAAGAACTATTGAGGGACAGTAGTGTTTAAAAAGAAGATAAAGCATTCCCCCCAGAGATGATGATTCAGAGGTTCCTGGGAAAGAAGCCCAGAAATCTGCATTTTAATCAACCACCCCTGGTGATTCTAGCAAGTGGTGGTATGTGGGAATACCTTGTCCAGTTTGGGTGCTTCACCGAGTCACTTTTCCTACAAAGCCCTCCATATTTTGAACTTGCAGCCACCTTTTACTCCTTCCCCTCCCTCTGAAATCTGTGATTTATATTAGCACCACCTTTCTGAATTAGTGCTTGCATTTTTAGACCAAGTAGCTGTCCAGTGCTGTTTAACCCTTGATCTGACAGGCCTTTGTCTTTCTTGATCTCGTCCATGGCCGCCCTGGAAATTTCTGGTTCTCTGGTCCCCGCCTTACCTGGAACCTGGTTTTCTGTTTTTCCTTTAAGTGTAGCTACAGCCAGCTGCGATTCCCTGCCCTCCTTTCCACAGTCTGTCGCTAAGCGCTCACATCTACTCACCTGTCTATAAAAATAGCTTCCCAATCTGGGCCTCAGCCAGGACCCTCTTGTTTCATTTAGTCTTCTGCATGTCTCCAGTCTGTCTCATTAACATCTCAAAATCAATAGATCTAAAGTGAATTCTAATTGCCCTCGCACCCTCTTCCCGGTATTAAGGTGTGGCTCTTTCTAGCATGCTGTGCTGCTGACACTTCATGAAAGAAGGTCCTTAATAAGCTTGGTTTTCCTTTCCGAAATGTTGAGTTTTTTTTTTTTTTTTGCAACATGGGCAGGGAAGAAGCGAGGGAATAGATGCCGTCAAAGAGACAGTAGTTACTTAAATTCAAATGTAAGAAAGTTCATTGATAACAAATAGAAGCCATACACATATTCCCCAAAATGTTGTTAACCCCAAAACCATAATGAGGTTCATGATTTGGAAAGGAGCGCTGTATTGCTCATAAGGGGGTTGCTGCCTGGGGTGGCCATTCCCGCAGGCTGGAAAGCAGAGCCCCGGGCCACAAGCCAGGAACATGTTGTTAGAGGCAGACAACGGGAACAGGAATTGATACTGAGTAGCGTGGCCAAATATACATATTTAACAAGCCATAGGACCTATGGGGGGTCATGAATATTTATGAAAAGAGAAACACGTGCCTGTGCAGTCATGCTTTATGCCCCTTTATGGGGTCCATTCAGTCAGCGGGGGGCTTAGGATTTTATTTTTAGTTTACAAAGTATAAATGAACCAAGGCCTGGCCACAAAAAAGAGGGCTCCAAAGTCATTTCTTTGCCTAGTTAAAAAGTAATTTTCTAGACTAATTCCTTACTAAATTAGAACCTTCTGTTATTACAAAAATTTGTTCTGAGATATTTCTTACTAAAGAACTTAAATCTCAGTGATTGACATTGAACATCCCGATTAAAAATGAGTCCGTCAGTGTATTTTACTTTATCTCAATTTCATGCTCTATTTAAAGTAAATCTCATGTTCCATGTTGCATAACTTGGAATTGAGAATGAATAATCATTATCCGAAACACCAGTTTTCATTTTCTTTTGAGAGAAATTTATAGTTTTGCTCATTTATTTATGAATAATGCACAGATTTGGAATGCAGATGTATGCAGATGGCTTCCCTACTTCTTATTTTACAGTTCATACACAGAGATTTAGAGGACCTTATACTATCCTGTCAAATTCAACTGTATAATCTCT